CAGGCAAGGGCTGGGACCACTTGTGCAGTAGGCATTGTCACATGTGCTAGGGAGCACTTGAAGCATGGATGGAAGAATCCAGTGTGCTGTTAAGTGTAAAATGCACATTGGACTCCAAAAACTTAGTAGAAAAGAGGTTGCAAAATCTCATTAATTTTATGTTGTTTGCATGTTGACACAAACATGAATAGTTCAGATTAAAGAGAGCATGTTATAAAAATTGATTGTACCTGTTTCTTTTTACCTTTTGATGTGGCTTCTAGAAAATTTAATGTTACATAAATGGCTCACAGTTGTAGCCTGCATTCTGTTTCTATTGGACAATGCTGCCTTTATGCATCTTTGCCTTAACTAGCTAACTTCTTTCCCTTAACTAACTTCCTTTTCTCTTCTTCTGATGGCTTCCAGGAAATCACTCAAAAAATCCTGGAAGCTGTAGGGAACATTGCTGGCTCTTCCTTAGAACAAACCAGCTGGCTCAGCAGAAACCTGGAAGTGAAGGCCCAGCCTCAGGTAGCGCTAGAAGAATCTGATACTGAGGACAATTTGCCTGGTAGGTGTTAGAAAGTGATGCTTGCAGTCAGTTGTGCTTTGAGTTTCTTTGTTTTTTATTTGTTTCTTTGTTTTATGTGTTACTGGGGGTTTAACTCAGGGCCTTGAGCTTGCTAGGCAGGCACTCTACCAGTAGAGCCATTTTGCTATTCCTGTAGTTCTTTAAGAAAGACCTTAAGTGTTCCCAGCACACATACACACATGCAAGTAAAAATTTTTAAAAAGGAACAAAGTAGAAACTGTGTGAAGATGGAAAGTGATGAAGATGTTAATTAACCTAGTTATGATTATTTAACAGTATGCATATATATATACGTATATATATCAAAATGTCAAATTGTAATTCTCTGATATGTACTATTTTTGCTTGTCAATTATTCCTCAATACTTCTGGGGTGTATTGGAAAGTAAAAAAAAAAAAAAAAAAGAAAGAGTAGAGAAAGCATGCTGCCATGCTGCCTTCTCAGTTGTGTTCATTCGCCCAGGCTCCTCCTTTGTGCTTATTAGTTAGATGACTAACAGTTTCTACTTCTTGCAGCCTGAGTTGTATGTATAATGAACCATATGGTGGTACTGCAAGGACAGAGCTACCATGTTAAACCTTCCCTGATCCTAGAAGGAGTCCCCAAAGTAACTTCCCAAGATAGAGAGCTGCATGAGATAAAGATGATGAGGGTGTGTGCTTACTAAATCAGCAAACTGGTCAGATACTTTATGTTGTGTCCTTCATTTTCAAACACCCTTCCCTCCCTGTGATCCCAAATCCTTGCCTAGGGTGTGAAAATTTCATAGAGGAGGCTCCATAGACTCTGCTCAGTGCTGCCTCATTATTAGCGAGAACTTCCTAGGACAGTTGTCAGAAGACTCAAAGAAGACTCATCAGTTTTCTGGGAGGACCATTCAGTGATGAGTGAGAGATGCTGGAGGAGTCTGAATTCAGTGTGACTGTGTAGGTTTTCAGTTGCTGGTGCCCTTAAGACCAGCAGACACGTCAGCCAACCAGGCAGATCTCAGGACATTGGCCCATTGCAGTAAGGGGAAAAATGGATAACTTCAAAGAAGCGTCTCAAAGAGGAAGTTGAGGAGGATATTTCTAGGGTTTTAGGGCCTTGGCTGAGTTGTTTTGTGGCAAATCTTTGAAGGTGGGTGTATTAGTCTGTTTTCTGTTGCCAATAATGCCATACCACAAACTGGATGTTACAAAGAAAGGTTTATTTTGGCTCACATACTAGAGATGAAAGGTCTGGGAGTCACATTTGATGATGGCTTTCTTGCTGGCAGAATCCTGAGGGAGCTCAGTTGCATCACGTTGGGAAAGTCAGGGACACACATGTGTGTCTCTTCTGCACCCTCTCTCTCTTCTCATAAAGCCGCCAGGATTCAATCATGGAGGCTCCAACCTGATGACCTTATCCTAGTCACCTCCCAAAGGCCCCATCTCTAAACACCATAACTGAATTTTATTTCCATCCTCTTAATACCTCACACTGGGCATTATATTTCAACACATGACTTTGGGCAGTTGGAAGTGTGCAAAGTTAATGCTTTGGACTGGTGAGCATGGCATGAGGGGAGGGCCTGGTATTGATTGTGGTGAGCAAGCTGCTCATCGAGACATTTTGGCTGTGTGCAATTATTCCTGTTGTCAGGCAAGTGACTATCCATCCTAGTCCTCCATATTATTCAACAAAGGGACAGGAGCTTACACCCCACCCAGTGCTGCTGAACACGGGACAAGAAAATATGTTTGGTCCCAGTTTTATTTAATACAGAAACAAGAAATTACGTTTTCATTCTCAATATGAACCACAATGCACAGTACCTGCTGCAGAGTGAATGTTCAAAAGTTGTTAGCTTTTATTTCTCTTCTGTCAAAACTGTTAGCAATAGTTAAATCTTAGAAACAAAAACGAAATTAGCAGTTTTTAATATGCAGGAAAGAATTCAATGAGACAGAACTTTTTTCTCTTGCTGATAACAAAAGTCCATTTTAAACTATCAGAAACAAAAATACCAAATGAGTAACTTTGAGCTCATGTATGTGACAGGGTCAGTAACTAGCCTTAGTCATAGCAGGGACCAGGTGCTCAATGAAGTTAATCACGTCTCATGCAGACTCTGAGTGTCTCTGTGTCACATGCCTAGCCCAGTGGAGGGGAGGAAAGGCCAGAGCCACATGATATGGGCTGTCACCCAAAAGAGGGTGTGTTCCCAGAAGGAGGAAGGACAGGGCACTGAGCAGATAAATCTTCTGCTATATCTGTTTGCAGGTTTTTTGGTGGCACTGCTGTTTGAACTCAGGACCTCAGGCTTGCTGTGCAGGTGCTCTTACCACTTGAGCCACTGCATCATCTATTTTCTTTCTTCTGTTTTTTGGCGGGGCAGTACTGAGGCTTGGACTCGGGGTCTTACCCTTGCTAGGCAACTGTTCTACCACTTGAGCCCCTCCCTCCTACTTCTGCCATGTTTGTTGAAAAGTTAGTTTTGTGGTTTGTGTAGGAGAAATGGCCATGTTTTATCCTGTAATGAAGATGCCATAACTGGGATACTGTCATTTGCTGGTATGAACTAGTGGGTAGCTTTCCCAGGCTGGGGCATGGCTAAGGTTGTGGTTTTAAAGTAGGAGAGCTCTCACCTCCACTTGACCAATTTGTCCATGGTTGTTTCTGGTGTAGATGCCAATTAAACTGCTTCCACACACTGCAGCTGTGTCTGCGTTGTTGCATCATGTGTTGTTGCCTGGCTTTTGTGCAATAATTAAATTTAACCTGAAGACAATTTTGTGGTAAAATGATCAGCTGGCTTTTTGTACTTCTTAGAAATCACAGAATTCCAAAGCTGGAGGTGAGTTTTGACCTTCTCAAAAATGCTTAATAAGCAATACAGAGTACCATATAACTGAGTGTTTGGATTGTAACTATATTTTGTCTGAGTTGTGATAAACTTAAGTCTATGTATTGACCATATAAAGTATGATATAGAATGAGGCTTCAAAATGATGTGTTTTCCTCCACACCTGTGCCTGCAGGGGCAGGTTCTTAAGTATAATCTTGTGAGAGAAATGTCTGGCAGGTGCCATGCTCACTCTGTGCTCAGACACTGGTACTACTCATGGGGCTCAAGAGAGATGATAATTGAAAAGAGAATTACCACAGGTACCTTTGTAACTCTTCTGAAAGTCTAAAATTATTTCAAAATACAGTTGTTCTAATAGTGAAAAAGTAAATTGCCAAGAGAATTTCAGGTGGTGCTTAGTACTAGGAGGAAAACAGGAGAATATGATAAGGAATGACTGGGTACAGCCAGGGAGGAAAACAGGAGAATATGATAAGGAATGACTGGGTACAGCCAGAACCTCTTTAGATGTGACAGAATATGACCCATAGGAAGTGGCAGTTGTGCAAAGAAATGTAAGATAAAGACAGTGTGCAGAAATCTGGAAGGCATTGCACAAAGGGGACACAAATGCTGGAGATAGGAGTGGACTTACTCTAAGATCCCCGAAGACCAGTGTGGCTGGGACTTAATGAGAGGCTTGGAGAGGTAAGAGAAAGGATGGGGACTGAAGGTTGTCAGACTTGATGTAGAGCCCTGGGAGGAACTTGGATCTTGTGTATGTGCTGCAGGGCCATTAAATTATGGAGAGCAATCACATAGTCATGCTGCATCTTTAGAAAACTTCCCTTTGGTGCCTGTGAGCAACACAGGCTGCATTGCACAAGAACAGAAACTGCACGTCCAGTTAAAAGGATTTGCAGTGGTTTGGGCATGAGTTGGTATTGACTTTGAGGCAGGGCTGAGCAGGAGCACAGCCAATGATGTGCCCACTGTAGACAAGGAAATATAGTAATCTTAAACTGGCAGAGGCCACTACGGGAAGGGGATCAGGAAGTAGTGAAGAGGTCTGGTAGAGATGAACCAATGTGGGTTGTAATACACATGTGCATGGAAGCAATGCTAGGAATCTCTCTGTATAGCCATCTTTGTGTCAAACTAGCAAAAGTGCTATGTCTTTCTTCTTGTCTGTTATGTTTTCTCTCAACAAAATTGGAGAACAAGAGGGCAGGTTCTGCCCAAACATACATATGAATAAATGTAAAAACAATAAGTTAAAAAATGGGCCAAAAAAAAGAGCACAGCCAACAAAACTTGCCAGGGGGTTGGAGATTGAAGGTGGTGGTTAAAATGCAATTAAATGCATGGGTTTGGATTTATGGCAGGCCCGGGCCCCTGGGCCTCTCATAGTGTCCTTTGTCAGAGAAAACTGTGGCTCTGAACCATTGCCTGGCTTCTGCCTGTAAACTGCTGGCACTGAAGTGAGTTGCACAGTGGAAGAGAAAAGAACTAAAAAATATATTTTTAAAAAGATGCAATCAAGGGTGACTTAGGGTTTGGCCTATGAAATTCATTGAGGCAGAGAAGACTGAAGGAAGAACATGTTGGAAAGGGAAGTTGAGTTGGTGCTAAGTGCAGGTATTAAATCTGAACTGTCAGGAAAAGAGGAGCCAGTGAAGATGAGTAAGCAGTCACTGGATAAGAGAAAAACCAAGAGAGCACAGAGTCATGGAACCTAGAAGAGAGTGTTTCCAGGAATGGGTGGTTCTGTGGAAGGCTGCTGAGAAGTGAGGTAAGACTGCTGGTGGAAGCCATTGGGGAGGGCAGGATGGTAAGGGGGAACATTTTATGGGGTCGGTGGAGGGGAGAATGGTGGTGTGGATGTAGAGAACTTCTGGAAGTTTAGTTGTCAGTAGGGCAATAGCCAATTAGAACTAAAGACCCAGGAATGTTTATTGTATTTGTGTTGTGCTTTGGATTTTGTTTTTTGGGACAGGGTCTTCACTATGTAGTACAAACTGTCCTCAAATTCACATTCCTCCTGCCTCAGCCTCCAGAGAGCTAGAATTACAGGAGTGTGCCACCATTCTTGGTTGCATTTGTTTTTAAATTGGAATATGTCAAAGCCTGCTTGCATGATGAGGGAATAATACAACAATTTCTCTCTTTCTCTTTTTTCATTGTAATAGTGGTTGAACCCAGGGCTTCATACTTGCTGGGCAGGCCCACTACTGCCTGAGCCATGCTTCCAGCTCAATACTAGAGAGAAAAAGGATAGTTAGAAAGCAAAATCCTTCATGATCATAGGGCCAAGATTGACATCATAAATGGACTTATCATTCTTTGATAGGATCCAAGGACCTGTTTATTAAAACAGGAGACAGTGGCTGGCAGAGTGGTTCAAGCAGTAGAGCGCTTACCTAGCAAGCATGAGGCCCTGAGTTCAAACCCCAGTACTGCAAAAACAAACAAACCAGGAGACAAATCAGAGAATGTGAATATAAATGCTCAGGTTAATAACATATACGGCAAAAAAAAAAAAAAATGGGTTCCCATTTCATTGCATTAATTTTTCTCAGTGAAATATGAGGTAGGTTATCAGCTGAGAAGAGGGAAGGTATTGATGAATATTGAAGAATGACATGATAGAATTGTGTTGGAGAGGAAGAAGTCATCTTACCACCTGAGAACACATGTTACCATGAACACATGATAGCAGCAGGTCCCTTTCAAGACTCATGGTAATGAAACAAGTAAGACCAATTACAGAGTGGTATAGTTTAAGCTATGCAAAACTGAATAGACAGGTGTCTTGGTCCATTTTCTGTTCTTGTGACAGAAAACCCCAGACTAGTTTAGTTTGCATAAAGAATAGTTTCTTTTGGCTCATGGTTCTGGAGGCTTCTGATGAGGCCCTCGTAGTTGCGCTGTAAGAGCAGAAAGCAGAAGGGCAGGCAGGCATATGCAGAAGGGGCCAAACAGGAGTGGCTGCCTTTGAACTCATGATCCTCCTGCCCCAGCCTTCCAAGTGCTGAGATTATAGGTGTGAACCACCATGCCTGGCTCAGCCTCACTTTGTAACAGTGCACTCTATTGGTAGCTAACCAGGTCCCTCAGGAATTAATCCAGTCTTACAAAAAGCATTTATCCTCTTATCAACTCCCACCAAAATGTTGCATTTTTCTTCTGAGATCATTACATCTTTCTAGGTGAGTTCTTCAGAGGGAGAGAGAAGTGAGAGAGTTCAGGATATTTGCCTGGTATATGAGAGACTGCAGTGTAAGTGCAGAGGTCCTAGGTGGTGAGGGTGGTAGACTCAGGGGAATGGAGGCTGTACAAGGATTCAGGAAAACACTAAGGGGTGGTCACAGCTGGAGATGGGGGCTTGGGAATTGGTGACGCCAGGGGTATGACAGGGACAGTTAGTGGCTGAGCTGGAGCAGAGTGAAAGATTGTGAGAAGAGAAGAGGGCAAGAGGCTCAGAGCCCAGGAATGGCTGGGTCATCCCAGAGAATACTGAAGGCTAGACAGGGGGAAGTAGACAATGAGTTGGTGCTAATTTATTTGATCCAAATATCCACATTCTTAGTTGCTGAAATTGAATACTAACAGGAAAGAAGACCTGAGTTACTCATCCACAGTCAGAATGGAAGGTGGGAGCTTTACCAGTCCAGTTCATGCACTACTTAGGGAGCAGTAAGTGTTGACCCCCTATCATAGTTAAGTAAATGCCTGTTTCTGTCAACAGATGCTGCTGGGGCTTCAGCAATGGTGTCTGCATCTGCCCCCTCGGTTTACAGTGTGCAAGCCCTCTCTCTCCTGGCAGAGGTAAATCCACACCCGACCTGTGGTCCCCTTGTGGAAATGCTTGCCATCCTAATCATTGTGAAGGTCTGTGTTCATTCTCAGGTACCCTTGAGTGTGAAGTTTCCATTGCTATAACAAAATACCTGAGCAAAGCAACTTACAGGGAGGAAAGGTCTGTTTTGGCTCATGGTTTTAAAGATTCCAGTCCACAAAGGGTGGAGGAGTTGGCTACATTGTTTTTGGTCCTATGGCAAGTGGCAAGGCAGAACGCTACAGTGGGGAGTATGGTGGAGGATTGCTGTTCACCTCTTAGAGGCTGGGAAGCAGAGGGAGAAGAGAGACCATGGTCCCACAGTTTCAAGGGCATGCCTCCATGACCTAACTTCTTTCCGCTCGACTTTAACTAAAGCTCCCAGTGGCTTCCCAATAACATCACAGCCTGGCAAGGAAGCCTTCAACACATGGGCCTCTGGGAGACATTTCAGATCTAAACTGTGGCAGGTTCAAGCTGCTCCATAGACTTTTCTTGTTCAGCTTATACTTTGAGGATGATACTTCTCACTGTCACATGCTTCAGAGGTCTCTGTTTTCTTACTGGTCTTTTAGGTTCTAGCTTCTCTCCTGGACATGGTCTATCGAAGTGATGAGAAAGAGAAAGCAGTACCACTAATCTCCCGCTTGCTTTATTATGTTTTTCCTTACTTACGCAATCACAGGTAATATTGTTTTCTCCATTACATCCCACCAATTTGCAGAAAACTGCATTTTGAGAGGTAAATCAGGTGGTTTTCCTTGGACAGTCTTTGACTTTGACTGTTTTCTCTTTCCATAGTGCCTATAATGCTCCCAGTTTCCGGGCCGGTGCCCAGCTGCTGAGCTCCCTGAGCGGCTATGCCTACACAAAACGAGCCTGGAAGAAAGACGTGCTGGAATTGTTTTTGGACCCCACTTTCTTTCAGATGGATACTTCTTGTGTTCAGTAAGAAATGCTGTCCTGATTAAAGTGTGCTGAGTCTTTGGTATTTTGGTTTACATAATTAATTTTCATTGCTGAATTGGAAGCAGACCCATGCCGTCAGCCCGAATAGGACATCCTTGTTACAGGCTTGCATGTCAACCATGTGTTTCTTAACTGGAAAGGCATGGCATCTTTTAAAACAAAAAGTGCCTTTTATCAAAAGGGGAATCTCACTAAATTAAGAGAACATAGTATTCTTAAAGAGTGTAATATGGGGTTCTAGTGACACTTGGTCTTGTGCTACTTTATCTTATAATCCTGAAATATTTAACCACTGTTGAGAGAGCAAAGCCCACTGGTAGCCCTGGTGGTATCTCCACCCCATTTCTCAGCTCACGAACCCCAAGTTCATACTGAGATCTTGCAGTGGGGCAGGCACTGCACTGGCAATGAGAACCACTGAGACACAGGTGTGAGGTGTGCTTCGGGTGCCCTTCCGTGAAGATGGGAGTTAGGGAGTACCTCTCAGACTTCTTCCCAGCTTAACAACAGGAAAGGCACAGGGATGGATGGTGGAGATTGGGGCATCCTTTCTGTACAGCTTAAAAGTTTGTTCTGCCACCAGAAGGCTGCTTGGAGCCCTTATGCTTTCAGCCATGGGCAGTTGTCCTGCAGTTCCTGCTCTATAAATGCTCGGGTTCCTCATACAAAAATGGTGTGGTATTTACATGGAACACACACCCCCTCCTGTGTACTTTAAATCATTTCTAGACTACTCAAATCCCTAATAAAAGGTAAATGTTGTGGAAATAGCTATTGCATTATATAGTTTAGGGGATAATGACAAGAAAAATGTCTATGTGTTCAGCGTAGTTTTTTCTGAGTGTTTCAATCACGGTTGATTGAATCTGGTGTTGCAGAGCCTGGGGATATAAGGGGTTGACTATAATCCTGTGACTCTTGTCATTAATGCATACTGACCCTCTTAAGTAAGCACTATGGCTGCTGTTTTCCTTACAATCCCCTTCCCATCAAGAAAACTGTGAACATTGTCCTGTATGAATGAGTTTAAGGGCAACTCTCAAAAAAGCCAGAGCACCTTGCCAATTTGTCAGCTGGAAAAAGTCATTGTTAATTCCTGATGCGACAACTGTTGCTTGGCCTTTGCTTGTATAAAAACTATCAATTTGCATCTCTAACCTCTTTTCAGAGAGCAGTTTTTAATAGATCTTAAGGGGCATGGTATTTTCTTGACACATTTGATCAGACTCTCTGTTGTACATTTAATTAATTTTGCCTTTTTTCATATTCAGTTGGAAGTCCATTATTGACCATCTTCTGACTCATGAGAAAACAATGTTTAAGGACTTAATGAGTAAGTTTTGTGTTACTTATCACACTTTAAAGGACAATGCCATTATAACCACCTTTTGCCACGTCAAACCTTTTATGGTGCTAAGGGGTGGTGTGATATGTAGAACATGTCAGGACTAAGTGAATGCATCTTCCAGTTCCAGTCTCTTAACCAGGAGGCCTTAACAACCTCCATTTTTCATAGCTTTGTAGTGGAGAAATATTGTTGAAAGCAGTCGGGTTTACATTTTGACAGGTTTTTTTATTTTTGTTTTGAGGTACTAGGGCTGAACTCAGGGCTTACACCTTGAGCCACACTACCAGCCCTTTTTTGTGATGGGTTTTTTCGAGATAGGGTCTTGTGAACTATTTCCCTGGGCTGGCTTTGAACCTCCATCTTCCTGATCTCTGCCTCCTGAGTAGCAAGGATTACAGGTGTGAGCCACCAGTGCCCAGCTTTGACATTTGTTTTGAAAGTAATAAGTTTTCCATAATTTTGAGGGGGCTTTTTTAGACAAGATCTTGCTATGTAGCCTAGACTAGCCTCGAACTCATGATCTTCCTGTCTCTACTTCCAGAGTGCTGAGATTTCATGCATGGCCACATGCCCAATTTAGGAGTACTTCTCTACACCTTGGATCCTCTTGTTTTTTTGGCAGTACTGGGGTTGGAACCCGTGCTTTCTAGGCAGGCCCTCTCCCAGTTGAGCCACACTTCTAGCCCTCAGGTCCTCTTTTAATGCCCTGTCACCATGTATCATTAGTGAAATAAGTATTTTTAAAATATACATTGGAATAGTAATCACATTCTGTCAGCTAATGGAGATCATGGTTTTTATCAGGGAAGGCAGGAATTACTCCAGTTTGAATTGCTTATCTGTCATCTCTGACTGGGTTTTGTTTTTTCAAACTTGCTTGCCATGTGTTTATTACAGATATGCAGAGCAGTTCTTTAAAACTGTTCTCAAGTTTTGAGCAAAAAGCCATGCTGCTAAAGCGCCAGGCTTTTGCTGTCTTCAGTGGCGAACTTGATCAGTACCACCTTTACCTTCCCCTGATACAAGGTAAGCTGGCTGTCGATCTGTTCTGTGCTGCTAGAACAGGATACCTGAAATTGGGTAGCTCATGATGAACAGAAAGTACTGGCTGCAGTTCTGGGAGCTGGGAAGAGTAGTGTTGATGGACAAGGGTCTTCTTGCTGCATCATGCCATAGTGGAGGGTCCAGAGAGCAAGGGTGGGCCAGACTCCCCCTTTCATAATAGTGGCAGTCCACGTATGAGGGCCTCATAGCCTCTTAAAGGCCCCACCTCCCAATACCATTTCGTTGGCAACTAAATTTCAGTGTGTTTTAGTGAGGACACATATTCAAACCATAGCAACAGCCAACCCTCCCTTCCCTGCCCCCAAACAGATAAGGCTGAAGTGGGTAGCTCTTGGAGGGGCGACGGCACATTTTGGCACAATGGTCAGGTGTCAAAATGACTATTCTAATCTACAGGGGGTATCATCAAACCTAAGGCATGTATCAGTAAATTTGAAACTTTATTTTAAAATTCAAATTGAATATCATGTTTATAATGGTATAAATTTGGGGGGGTAGATTTTAAAAGTCTTGCGGTACAGCGTAGGAGTGATTCTCAGCGCTGTCTTCTGCTGGATTCTGGGGCAGTCAGGATCCTTCATGTTAATAAAGCGCCTCAATCCCGTCACAGAAGCTGGTGAATGAGCAATATTTGAACAGTTTCCTCTTCTTCTTCTTCTTCTTCTTTTTTTTTTTTTTTTTTCGCTTTTCTTCGTTCTTACTAAATTGTTTGCATTGAAAATTAATTATATGGATAATTGTAATATGGTTTTTACAGGGCAATTTTTTTCTTCTGCATAAAATGTTAAGGTTAAGAACTGATACAACCCGTCCTGAAACCTGTTCCATGAAATAGAAAGGAAGGAAAACTGCCAAACACATTTTATGAAGCCACTATTACATCTTATCCCAAAAACCAGGCAAAGACACCTCCAAAAAGGAGAACTATAGGCCAATCTCCTTAATGAACATTGATGCAAAAATCCTCAACAAAATAATGGCAAATCGAATTCAGCAACACATCAAAAGATTATTCACCACGACCAGTATTCATCCCAGGGATGCAGGGGTGGTCAACATACGAAATCAATAAACGTAAATAAACCCACATTAACAGAAGCAAAGACAAAAAACCACTTGATCATCTCAATAGATGCAGAAAAAAGCCTTTTGATAAGATCCAACATCATTTCATGATAAAAGCTCTAGAAAACTAGGAATAGAAGGAAAGTTCCTCAACATTATTAAAAGCTATATATGACAAAACCTACAGCCAGCATTATACTTAACGAGAAAAATTAAAACCATCCCTCTAAATCAGGAACCAGACAAGGATGCCCATTATCTCCACTCCTATTCAACATAGTACTGGAATTCCTAGCCAGAGCAATTAGGCAAAGAAGAAGGAATAAAAGGAATACAAATAGGTAAAGAACTGTCAAAATATCCCTATTTGCAGACGACATGATCCTATACCTTAAAGACCCAAAAAAACTCTACTCAGAAGCTTCTAGACATCATCAAAGCTATAGCAAGTAGCAGGATTAAAATCAACATAAAAAATCATTAGCATTCTATACACTAACAATGAGCAAACAAAAAAGAATGTATGAAAACAATTCATTTACATAGCCTCAAAAAAAATCAAATAACCTAGGTGTAAACCTAACAAAAGATGTGAAAGACCTCTACAAGGAAAACTATACACTTCTGAAGAAAGAGATTGAGGAAGACTATAGAAAGTGGAGAGATCTCCCATGCTCATGGGATTGTAGAATCAACATAGTAAAAATGTCGATACTCCCAAAGTAATCTACATTGTTTAATGCAATTCCCATCAAAATTCCAATGACATTCATTAAAGAGATTGAAAAATCTACTGTGAAATTTTATATGGAAACACAAGAGGCCACGAATAGCCAAGGCAATACTCAGTCAAAAGAACAATGCAGGAGGTATCACAATTACTGACTTCAAACTATATGACAAAGCAATAACAATAAAAACAGCATGGTACTGGCACAAAAACAGACATGAAGACCAGTGGAACAGAATAGAGGATCCAGATATGAAGCCACACAACTATAAGGCAACTTAGGCTTTGACAAAGGAGCTAAAAATATACGATGGAGAAATAGCAGCCTCTTCAAACAAACTGCTGGGGGAAAACTGGTTAGCAGTCTGCAAAAAACTGAAAACTAGATCCATGTGTATCACCCTATACCAAGATTAACTCAAAATGATCAAGGATCTTAATATCAGACCCCAAACTCTTAAGTTGATACAAGAAAGAGTAGGAATTACTCTGGAGTTAGTAGGTATAGGTAAGAACTTTCTCAATGAAACCCCAGCAGCACAGCAACTAAGAGATAGCATAGATAAATGGGACCTCATTAAAAACTAAAAAGCTTCTTTCATCAAAAGAAATGTCTCTAAACTGAAGAGAACACCACAGAAGTGGGAGAAAATATTTGCCAACTATACATCAGACAAAGGACTGATAACCAGAATATACAGGGAACTTAAAAAACTAAATTCTCCCAAAACTAAGAACAATAAGAAATGGGCAGTTGAACTAAACAGAACTTTCTCAAAAAGAAAATTCAAATGCCAGAAAAACACATGAAAAAATGCTCACCATCTCTAGCAATAAAGGAAATGCAAATTAAACACACTAAGATTCCACCTCACCCCTGTTAGAATAGCCATCATCAGCAACACCACCAACAACAGGTGTTGGCGAGGATGCGGGGAAAAGGAACCCTCTACACTGTTGTGGGATGTAGACTAGTACAACCACTCTGGAAAAAATTTGGAGGCTACTTAAAAAAGCTGGACATCGATCTACCATTTGATCCAGCAATACCACTCTTGGGGATATACCCAAAAGACTGTTACTCCAGAGGCACCTGCACATCCATGTTTATTGCGGCACTATTCACAATAGCCAAGTTATGGAAACAGCCAAGATGCCCCAGCACTGACGAATGGATTAAGAAAATGTGGTATCTATACACAATGGAATTTTATGCAGCCATGAAGAAGAACGAAATGTTATCATTCGCTGGTTAAATGGATGGAATTGGAGAACATCATTCTGAGTGAGGTTAGCCTGCAAAAGACCAAAAATCGTATGTTCTCCCTCATATGTGGACATTAGATCAAGGGCAAACACAACAAGGGGATTGGACTTTGAGCACATGATAAAAGCGAGAGCACACAAGGGAGGGGTGAGGATAGGTAAGACACCTAAAAAACTAGCTAGCATTTGTAGCCCTTAATGCAGAGAAACTAAAGCAAGATACCTTTAAAGCAACTGAGGCCAATAGGAAAAGGGACCAGGAACTAGAGAAAGGTTAGATCAAAAAGAATTAACCTAGAAGGTAACACCCACGCACAGGAAATCAATGTGAGTCAATGCCCTGTATAGCTATCCTTATCTCAACCAGCAAACCCCTTGTTCCTTCCTATTATTGCTTATACTCTCTCTACAACAAATTAGAGATAAGGGCAAAATAGTTTCTGCTGGGTATTGAGGGGGGGAGCGGGAGGGGTGGAGTGGGTGGTAAGGAGGGGGTGGGGGCAGGGGGAGAAATGACAAGCCTTGTATGCACATATGAATAATAAAAGAAAATGAAAAAAAAAATGTTAAGGTGGCCAAAGTGGACCATTGTGTTCTCGTTCCCCTTCCCCAAGATATGAAGATTCTCAAGTAGGAATTTATGTTCCTTACATATCACAGGCTAAATGATAAAAAAAAAAATTCAATGCCATTTCGTGAAGGATTTTTAAAAAATTTAGATGTTATGAAGGGCTAATATGAAAGTTCTACAAATCAATAGAACTATGGGAATAACTCCTTTTTTTTCTTCAAGCTTATGAGGATACAACAGTATCCGTTATATATCAAGCCCTTGGCCTGAAATGCTATGAAATTAGTCGATGCATGTAATGCAAAACACCACCACAATCAAGACGTAGAAATTCTTCTCCCAAAGTTCCCTTGTTGCCCCGTCTGTGAAGCCCTCCCTCAGTTCCTAGCAACCAAGTCTCCTTTTCGGTGATGTTGGTTCTGTCCTTTTCTAGAATTCCATCTACTTGTGATTGCATATAGGTAACTTTTACATCTGGCTCTTCCCTTGAGCATGATGTGTCTGAGAGTAATCCATATTCTTATAGTTATCAGTAGCTTTCTACTTTTTGTTGCTAAAATAATATTCTTTCCATAGTGTTCACCCACTTATCAGTGGAATGTAAAATTATGTTATAAATCTTACTCTACCTTTTAAACGTTTTACTTAAGCAGGGTTAGTGCATACATCTATAATCCAGCACCATTTTGGGCAGATGAAGCAGGCAGGATCACAAGTTCAAGGCCAACCTGGGGTAGACCCTATCTCAAAAAAAGGAGAAAGCAGATATTACGGTAGATTCTTTTGGCTGTTGTGTTTGTCTGTTTTTCAGTTCTAGGATTGAACGCAGGGCTTCACTTACCACTTACACTTTCACTTACTTGCCACTGAGCTAAACACCAAACCTTGGTATTTGTGTTCTTGGGTTTTGTTTTTGTTGTTTTTGTGTTACTGGGTTTGAACTCAGGACCGTACACCTTGAGCCACTCTACCAGCACTTTTTGCTTGATAGTTTTTTAGATAGGGTTTCATAAAACTATTTGCCCAGTTGGTATCGAATTGTTGACCTCGCTATTTCTGGTCTCCTAAGATCTAGATTGCAGGCATGAGCCACAGCAGCTGGCAAGTATTTCTGTTTTTGTCCATTTGTTTTTGGGGTTCTCTGCAGGTTTTTTTGGCATGCTGGGGCTTGAACTCAGGACATTGCACTTACTTAGGGCAGGCTCTCTACCACTTAGAACCAGCACCCCAATCCCTGTTTTGCTTTAGTTATTTTTCAGGATAGAGTCTCCTGGTTTGCCCCAGGCCAGTACTTGAACTACAGTCTTCTACCTTGGCCTCCGAATATTTGCGATTGACAAAATTACACTACCACCCTTTGGCTTATTTATTGAGATGGAAATCTTGCTAACTTT